GCTATACCTTACTCAGTTGCATTTTTCTTCACAGCACTTACTGGTATCTAACATATGTCTATTTACCTTTTTGTCTATAAACCAATTATTAAATAAGTCAACTCCCTGGGAAGTCAACACTTAACTCCAAGTAGGCATGTACTTAGTATCTGTTGAATGAGCAAACACGTGAGTGAACATTCAGGAACCAAGACAGCTTTAGAAAGATTAGAACCAGATTATCCAATTTATTAGAATAAAGCTAATATTCTAAGGGATTAAGGCAATGAATCTGAGGCTTCTGAGAAGGAAAAAAAAAAATTACTGAAAAACACCAATATGGCAGGATATAAAATGAACCAAAGAAAAGACTCAACATAGATCAGTTAAAAGACAACTAATTATCTAAGCATGAGATTAAAGATGTCTATATTTCTCTCCTAAGATGGCAATTACAGAAATAGGTAGGACAGACAGAAGTGACAGCAGGAGACAGTAACTGAAAAAACTTAAAAATCATTGGTGTAAAAGGTTTCATTCAAGTTTGGCAAAACAGAAGAAAAAGAAGTCAAAAATCCCATTTGAAAAACTAAAATTTGATCTGGAACAACATTCAAGATGCTAAGTCAATGCTGAAAGAATAGATTTAAAAGCCATATACAGGGGATCCCTGGGTGGCGCAGCGGTTTGGCGCCTGCCTGGCCCAGGGCGCGATCCTGGAGACCCGGGATCGGGTCCCGCGTCGGACTCCCGGTGCATGGAGCCTGCTTCTCCCTCTGCCTGTGTCTCTGCCTCTGTGTGTGTGACTATCATAAATAAATAAATAAATAAATAAATTAAATAAATAAATAAATATAAAAATAGCCATATACACAGAGATCATAGTTAAATCTGCAAGAGTAAACCAAATTTCCCAAAGTAGATGAAATTTTCCCAAACATTTCTAAACTATAGGATGCTAGCAGCAATATAGTTTAAATGTACTGCTTTAAGGAGCAGGAGGAAGTAACAGTGGAGAAATGAAGAATCAACAAGATTTAAAGAAATACCCACAGGTCATCTGTATGCTGGACCTTCACCACTGAGTCCAGACACAGACTCTACCACTTAATTAACTACAGTGATAGAAGACAATTATCTAACTTCTCTAGCTTCAGTTTCCCTATGAAACATAATTAGCTGCTATTTTAACAGTAAAATATTAATACAAGTGGATAGTACTCTGCAGTTTCTAAATTACCTTTTAACTTATCTCACTTAAAGCCACCACCATCCTATCCTATAAGGCAAATCTTGCTATCTCATTCTATGGCTGGAGAAACAAAACTATCAAATAAAGACTAAGTTTCTCAGTTTATGAGTGGAAGAACTAGGATGATATGTAAACCTAGGTCTTCTGCACATGTGTAGTGTCAAAGACAAGCTCCAAAGCCAGACTTCCTGGATTCAAATCCAGCTCTATTATTTGCTAGCTGTGTGATTAGAAGCAAATGATTTAAGTGTTCCAGATATTACTCCCAAAAAGGGATATTTATTTTCCTTAGGCAGGAATGAAGAACCACAGAGAAATTTTTAGGTGAAAATCATGTTGGATGGCTTTGATTTTCTTGTAAAGGATATAATCTACTAGGACTAATCTGAGCAGGGCAGTTTTCAACTATGATCTGGCAGATGTGCTACTGAATCACCTCACACACACCAAAATAAATTCTTCTGTTTCACATCTTAGGCTTCCTCACAACTTTGAGGGGCTCACCTACATTCCAGTTTTAAAGCCAATGGATCATATTACTCTCTCAAATCTCTTGTACATGTAAGATTATATGATTTTAATCTTAGCCTCTGGGGGCACCTGGGTGGTTCAGTGGTTTAGCATCTGCCTTTGGCTCAGGTCATAGCCCCAAGGTCCTGGGATCCAGTCCCATATAGGGCTCCCCCATGGGGAGCCTGCCTCTCCCTCTGCCTATGTCTCTGCCTCCCTGTCTTTCATGAATAAATGAATCTTAAAAAAATAATAATAATCTTAGCCTCTGAACCCATTACTAGCTTTTTCTCATCCAACAGTAATAAGCTCTCCCTCAAGTCTCACAGCACTTTGTTACTGCCTCTTCATGACACTATACATTCTTCTATATAAACAGAGTCCATTCTCTCAGCATGACCTCCTTCAGGGCAAGCACTTCACCATTTATCTTAGAATTCCTCAAGCCTAAACACTATGCAGGCAGCCACTTTATAAGTATTAAATGATTTAATAACATAAATAAACTAAAATTATAGCGGGTTTTGATTTCTAGACATCTGGCAGTTATCACTGGGCTATTCACCTCCATAGTACTAAGCAGTATACTGATGAATGGTCTATTAAGGAACGTTTTACACAAAATATAAAATTTTTAAAAAAATAGTTAATTTTAGGGATGCCTGGGTGGCTCAGCGGTTGAGCATCTGCCTTCGGCCCAGGGCGTGATCCTGGGATTGAGTCCCACCTCAGGCTCCCTGCACGGGGCCTGCTTCTCCCTCTGCCTAGGTCTCTGTCTGCATCTCTCTGTGTCTCTCATGAATAAATAAATAAAATCTTAAAAAAAAATAAAAAAGTTAATTTTTATAACACATCCTATATCCACTAAGAGCATGTAAAAAGAAATACAACTTACTCTGATACAGCTGAAACAACAAAGCTTAGAGCAATGAGGACACAGGCGTGCATCCCGCAATTTCTCCATACAAATGAAACATCGGAAAACTTCGGCAATGCTCTGAAAAATAAAAGATCTTGTAAGGTCCACCAGGATTAGACTACTGAATCAAAAGTAAAAAGCATATTTAAAGTAATTCACTCAACATTTACATTTATTTTGAAATGATATCTGTTTTAATAAATTTCACATCAGTACTGGTTGGTCAAGGTCCAGTGTGCCTCAGGACATCTGGAAAAAGTGCATTTTTTCTAAGCTTCACAATGGTCTATTCTAAGGAAAGGACATGAAATGCAAACACAGACTTATGCATGAATATTTTTACTGAAGCATAAATTATAATGGCAAGAATGTTTCAATTATAAAAGTTGTAACAGCTGACAAAAAAATTATGACGACACAGATTATGAGTCCCTAGAAATACTTCTTGAATTATGATATAGAAAAATGCTTATGATGTATAACATTAAGAAAAAAACGCAGACTGTATGACAGAGAAAAAAAACTTTTCCTGCTATTTCCACAAGGGGGGTGGGGGGAGTTGGATTGCTTTACAATTAAAAAAAAAAATTAGAAAAGATACATATCCTAATGGCAGTATACTCTGACCAAGAAAGAAACTAAAACAGATTCCAGAGATCCAAGTTTCTGCCCTGATGCGCCAACCAATTAGCTTGAGCCTGAGCTGCTCCTACTGAGAATTTTAATGGTAGCTCCATGAAGGCTTTGCAAAAAAAGAAAAAAAATAGATAAATAGAAAAAACAGTGTTCTTTGCAAGCCCCAGGTGAATCCATTTAGGAAATAACTGACAAGAAAACAGAATTAAACGCAGGTTGTTGTATATTTCAAGTTTATTTTTACAGTACTCACATTTATTTATACTGCCTCCCAAGAGAATTAAACGCTCCTAAACCAAGAAAACGTTACAAAACCTTGTAACGCTTTTGCATGGGGAATTAAGGAGAAAATTATTGAGTCTAATCATGACTCTGCAGAACAAGAACGAACCTGTGACATGCAGACGCTGGCGGGGAATGGACCTTAAGACCACTGGGTGAACTACTTTCAAGTGAAGCGCCCAGTAATAGAGTTGCCGCTTACTAAGAAGAATTTAGTATTAAGGTTCAAAATTTGACAACTACTAAATAATTATGTTCAATAAGCCATCTTTTTTTTTTCCTGGCCTTTACGTAAATATCCCAAACATCTGAAATCAGAACTCACAAGAGCAGATGAAAAATAATAGGTTGTTCTGGAAAAATCACAAATAAAATCATAAAAGCCTATCTTCCTTCAATTTAGTAAGAGCAGAAGTCTTCAAAACGTACCGGTGGGAGGGAATGATTCCATTTGGAGGGAGTTTGGGATCCGCGCATGAACTCGCAAGAACTGGTAGCGAGTGCACGGCACGTCTATCTAATGAATTTGCAGTTTTGCTCTACCCAAGCTGTAGTTTGCAAAAACCCTCTGGGAAATAAGTACCGGTGCCAACACATCCAGAAAACGCCAGGATACGCACCACCTGACTTCGGGAACGGTCAGAACACAAGGCACCTGGAGGGCTGCAGAGCGAGCACGACGTGCTTCGCATCGGGCCAGCCTTCACCACAGCGGCAGCGTCCGGGTGGGGGTGCCCTACTAAGAGGGAGGACTGGAGCAGGGCGCCCCAAATAACGCTCAGCGGGTGGCGGGGGGAAACTACCACCACCCTGCTCAACCCCCTCACCTCCACGCTCTGTTCATCCATTGCCTCCGGTTCTCGGCGGGGCCCTCGGCGACCCGCGGAGTCCGTGGTCGCACCTACTGGGCGCCGGCCCGAGGTCGCCAGGTCAAGTCGCCGACGAGAACAGCCCGGCGTCCAAGTCAGGGAGCTCTGACGGCCGCCCCACCTGCGCGCCCCATCGCGTCGGGTTCGGCGCCAGCTACCCCCACTTCGCCATATTTATCCGCGCACCCGCCCTAGAGCGCAGTGGGAGGGCGAGCGGTGACCGCAGCTCCTTCCTCACGGCTAAGCCGCCCGCCAGCAACCGCGAGGCAGCCACGCGCCACGTGATGCGAGCGCGCGCGTACGGAACTGCTGCTAGAGCCCGGCGGCGCCGGTCTCCAGCTCAGAAGGTGCTGCAGGGAATTCGCAAACACTAACGGTAACCAGGGCAGCGGAAGGCGCGGCGGTGAGGGAAGGCGCGCTGCGCATGCGCGCAGGACGCTGCGTTAGGGGAGCGGAGTGGAGAGGCGGGCGACTAAGTTCCCGCGGTGCGGGGGCGCACACGAGATTTGGCTGCTAGCAAGCGCAGCGCTGCGTGCCTTTGGCGCCGGCCTAACGCAGGCGGCTGAGAACTTGGCGCTTGTTTCTGCGCAGCTTCTTCAGCCCCGCTCCCCGGGAAGAGCGGCGCTCCACCGGTCTCAAACTTTAATTTTTATTTATTTATGATAGAATATAGTCACACAGAGAGAGAGGCAGAGACACAGGCAGAGGGAGAAGCAGGCTCCATGCACCGGGTCCCCCGGATCACGCCCTGGGCCAAAGGCAGGCGCTAAACCACTGCGCCACTCAGGGATCCCCGCGGTCTCAAACTTCAGCGCGCCAAAGACGGGAACCACCTGGAGTGCTGTGGGAAACTTACTCTGAAGCCACACCCCTAGGTATTTAAACTGATTCTCGGGTGCGGCTCCACGAAATCAACGTCCTCGACAGCTGCTGTCGCTGATTTGGCTGCAGGTGGCCTGTGTGGCCCGCACCTTTGAGAAACCATGGTGTATAGGATTTGTGGCTAGTAGTTCTTGCCCCGGAAAGAAGCCCAGAGTCTCCGGTATTGAGACTTCCGCCCCGGCTACTCCAGCAAAGCTCCAGATTTTGAAGCCTAGGGCGGTGTAGTTTCTCATTTCAGGGTTAGGAGAATGGGACCAGACTGTAGAGGTCAGATCCACACCACTCCACACTGCATCTCTTGCCGCCTGAGGTGAGCTGTCGCACTGGGACTACGGAAAATGCAAGTGTCGCCTCTGTTCAGCTTTCCTATGTTGGCATTTTCTTCATGCAATTTTCTGCCAATGTAGGTCTAAGATTGCAGGAATTGAAGGTGTGAGACAAAGGACTTACATCAAATTCTTAATTTGAATTTAAAATTTCCTCTGAAATACTTGCGAACTATTTACACTTATCCCAATCTAGAGTGCACATGTAAAGAATCAGCAATATTCTTGAAAGAAGTTCTTTTTTTTTTAATTTTTTTTTCTTTATTTATGATAGTCACAGAGAGAGAGAGAGAGGCAGAGGGAGAAGCAGGCTCCATGCACCGGGAGCCTGACGTGGGATTCGATCCTGGTTCTCCAGGATCACGCCCTGGGCCAAAGGCAGGCGCCAAACCGCTGCGCCACCCAGGGATCCCTTGAAAGAAGTTCTTAAGTATCAAGGGATTTGGACTATCTTGTAATGGACTTGAAAGAATCAGCAATATTCTTGAAAGAAGTTCTTAAGTATGAAGGGATTTGGACTATCTTGTAACAATTTATTTTTTAATGATTTTATTTATTCATGAGAGACCCAGGCAGAGGGAGAAGCAGGCTCCATGCAGGGAGCGATGCGGGACTCTTTGCGGGACTCCATCTGGGGACTCCAGGATCACGCCCTGGGCCAAACGCAGGGCCAAACCACTGAGCCACCCAGGGATCCCCAACGATTTCCTTTTTACTAGGTAAGCCATGGACAGGGATATAATTTAGTAGGATTAATTTGTGACTGAAAAGTTCTTTAACTAGAAATTTTTTATGGTTGTGGTTGTTTGCACGTCACCATTTGTACTAAAATACCCTCAATTGTACACTTTAATAATGGTTTTACTTAATTTTGGTAAGTGAATTTCACCTCAAATTATTTGTGGAACACAGTATTGTACTTGGGATTCAAAGAGTAATGAGAAGTGAAAAAAATAAGACAAATTACTACATATGATAAATATTAAATTCTTGTACTAACAGATATATTTGCCCAAGAATCCAAAAATGTTTAAAGATTTATTGGAGTAGTTCGTTAATAGTGAAAAATTGGAAAACCTATACAATTAGTTAGGGGTCATTAGTTGCAACCACAAAGTCAGATTCTGGCTAACTTACACAAAAAAATAGTTGGCAAGATGCTAAGCTACGGCATGGGAGTTGGGAAATCTGTGATATGCCTCCTTAGAATCCCTCTCTTAAAGGCCAGGATGCCTGGGTGACTGGTTAAGCGTCTGCCTTTGGCTCAGGCCCTGATCAGTGGGTCCTGGGATTGAGTCCAGCCTGGGGCTCCCTGCTCAGCAGCAGTGTGCCTCCCCATCTGCCTCTTTCCCCCTGCCTGAGCTCTTTCTCTCAAATGAAAAACTAAAATCTTAAAAAAAAAAAAAAAAAAAAATCCTTCAGGGCAGAACTTGGCTGCCTTTCCCCAACCCTGCAAATCTAATCTCTCTATTATAGTCTTATCGATGCGTATCAATAAGGAACTGGAAAAATCCTGATATATCCATATATTACATCTGTTCAAAAGAATAGATGCGTGGCATGAAAATATCCACAATATATTTACAATGAAAAAAACTGCAGCTAGAGTAGGTATAGTATCATCTTATTTTTGTAAAAAAATTATTTTTAATTTTCATGTATGTAGAAACATCTGAAGAGATTGCAGATCAATTCTGGAGAGTAGGCGTACTTATATTTTTAACTACCTAACATTAAATTTGTATTAAGGTATAAATTAAAATTAATTTGTATTACTTATAACTTAAGACATAAAAACACTATAGTCCCATAGAAAATAATTACGATGAGAAGTAAAGGATCTAAGGGTAGTAAGAGTGAAGATAAAAGTGGAGGTTGGATACTATGAATATTTCAGAAAGATTTTATTAGCTAAAGATCAAGGGATGCAAACTTTTATTTTTTTTTAAGATTTATTTATTTATTCATTCAGAGAGAGCAAGAGAGAGGCAGAGACACAGGCAGAGGGAGAAGCAGGCTCCATGCAGGGAGCCCGATGTGGGACTTGACCCTGGTTCTCCAGGATCACTCCCCGGGCCGCAGGCGGCGCTAAACCGCTGCGCCACCAGGGCTGCCTGGATGCAAACTTTTAATTCCAGTAACAGAACAGTGGTCATTGACAAAATATATCAGTAAGTACTCTGGACATGATCAGTGTGAATATTCTAAATCTAATGGAAGAAGTTATATTTGGGAATTTGACAGAGTCAATAAACGAAGCTTGGGAAACAAAAGAATATATAGAGAAGTGCACAGATAACAATTTTAAGGGGGCTGACGGAAAGAACCAACATTTAGAAGATAACTGTATAGGAAGTTACAGAGGAAAAATTCTAGAAACTGGTTGTGACTTCTTTATGATGCTACATTTTTCAATTCTACCAATCAGTATCACATCCCAGAGCCATTCCATGACAAAAACTTCCCCTTAATATTAACTGAGTACTGAAGAAAATGTTATTGAAGTATGACTTATTTCTAATTTTAAAAAGAGGGTTTTCTATTCTTCAAATATTCAAACTACACAGCACAATTTTAACTGAAGCTACTCTCCCAGCCACTTGTCATGTATTACAAATTTGTTAATGGAAAGTAAGATGTTCATAACAAATTTTTAATTATATGAAAATATAATTCTATAACCTGCAGAACTAATATTTGATGCATTTTTCCTAGTCTTTTCAATGCTTCATTTTTATTATACACAGAAATATTCACTGAAGGATAACTAATTATCAAACTCAAACACTTTACCATCTCATTGTGCTTCCAGCCACCCTGACACCCAGAAGTTAAGTGATTTGCTCAGGATCACATAGCTAGAATTAAAAAACTGCTATTTACATCTCAGACTCCAAAGCCCAATCTTTTTTTTTTTTTTAAAGATTGTATTTATTTATTCATGAGAGACACCGAGAAAGAGGCAGAGACATAGGTAAAGGGAGAAGCAGGCTCACCACTAGGAGCCCAATGTGTGACTCGATCCCAAACCTTAGGATCATGCCCTGAGCCAAAGCCACTCACTGCTGAGCCACCAGCACAATCTTAACTACAAAACTGCAATCTCTGCTTTCCCCTCCCCCATTTAATATAGCTTCAGCATTTCCCAGAACATTAATAGTAATAAGTTACTGGGGCAGCTTGACTTCTTAATATATGGATACACCATGATTTATTTTCCTGTTTATCTGCCATTAGCCAGGTATGTGTGTGTGTATTGCTAGTATAAATAATCCTGTGATTGACATCTTGGTATCAAGATCTATCCCTATGATGACCTTAATACAAATAGTTATTTAAAAATATAGAAATTCACACACAAACACATATATACACAAACTGGCAAGTAGTAGTTGCCAGTGATCCTCTGATTTCAGTTTCTTAGCTTTCATACAGAATGAACAATTACAGTTAATACAGGCTGAAGGAGAACAAAGGTACTTTGATACACAACAGGGACAATCTCAAACAGCATTTGAAAGCAGAGTTCACATTGCTTAACATTAGCAGGCAGAAGGAATAGGGAAAAAAAAGTGAGGATGTCACAGAAAATCCAATTTATTATTACTAAAGTTAGCTTTTGTGGAGTACTAGAGATCACATATTAGCAGTCTCATCAATAAAGTGACTATTATCTATAATCAGAATTTTCAAAAATAAAATCATACACATAATGTAATACAAATATTTTTTTCTATCCTTTAATTTCCAAAGCATGTTAATTCACATCTGACTGACTGATAGTACATAAATATCCTTTCGTGATAGGCCAGGACATCAGTGTTATCCCAATTACACAAAAACAGATGCAAAACAGTGTTAAGTGACTTCCTTGCCTGAAATTATAAGACTAAGTTTGTGTGCATATATATTTTTAAATCCCTTTATTCCCATTCCATCCTTTTGGCTAAACTTTATTCATATATTATCTGCCCTTGTGATAGTCCCTCTCTTCTGAAAGGCATCATTATCCAAACACCCCAGACAAATCTTCTTTACCATCCCCCAATCAAGTGCTAACAAGACATCTTCTTAAATCTTTCTGGAATTAATCTCTTCTCCATTGGAATTCCCATTTGAAGTCAATTTCTTCATAAGTCTGACATGAAAGATTTTAATTGCTCTGTTGCAGTTTTTTCTTCTTTAGTCAGTGGTGACAGCTAGAAAACAAATGACAAAAATCTTTATTTCAAAATCTTTAAAATCTGTTTCATTTAATTAAGTTCTTTTTTAGGTTTCCATAAACTCATACTATGCCTACAATCACAAATTTAGGAAGGCAGGAAAAAGATAGATTTTTGGCTGTCTATATATACAGGGTATTTTTAACGTTTGAGCTTTCAAAGAACTTGGAATTAAGTTGAAGAAACACGACCAATAAATCAAACAGTTTAAGGACTGTAATTTAACAAAACTAAAGAAGTCACGTTTGAATGCCATATTCTAAAAGCATTTTGAAAAAAATATGAACAAAATAGTCTGGAAGATTCCTCAGAAGTAGAGATGTGACTAAATTTTGAAGGATAATTGAGATGTTTTTAGCTGCAAGTAACAGGAACACATTTCAAAATGGATAAATAACAAAACATTATCATTGCACATTAAATGCAAAAAAAGAGCAGACAGACTTCAGGTCTGGTTTATTCAGCTCAACGTAAGACTTGGTTTCTTCCACCTTCTCTAATAACCCTGCTGGTGGCTTTATCCTCAGAATGATAGGAAAAATAGCCTGAGCAGTGCTAGGCATCACATCTATACACAATGTTTAGGAGAAGTTTTCTCTTCCCAGGAGTCTCTCAGCAGTGAAAAAACTCAATTTCCTACTTCCAAACGTTTCCTCCTCACATGTCATATAGGTTACAAACCCATTCCTGAACTAATGTTAGTTAAAGGAAAATCCATTCCACTTGCCAATCAGATACAACCCCAGTAAGCTGAGGAAAGCACTAACTTTGCCTCAGGCACAAGTGAGGGATGGAACATGTCTCAAGAAAATCAGTATTCTATTAGGCAGCAAGGGAGAGAACAGAAGCTGAGAAAACCACCCAGCAAACAGTATCCACCAAGAGCAGTTAGGAACAAAAGCAACGGGATGAAGAAAAGTCAAAGGGAAGTTTATAAAGGACTTCCACAGAGTACTGACCAACAGGCTAGCTAAAACAAAGGATTAATGGGGAAATTATAGGAGGTACAGCATGAAGAATCAAATAGTTCTAACTATATAGGTCATCTCTAGAGAGACTACCAAATCTGGAAAACACCATACCTACAGAATAATCTCTAGGGCAGTGCTGTCTGATAGAACTTTCTGTGGTGCTGAAAATATCCTATATCTGTGCTATCCAATCAATCAGTAGATGAAAAACCGAATTTTTAAATTTTATTTAATTTCTTTACATTTTAATTTACATAGCCACATGTGGTGATTGGGCTACCTAGTTGGTTTGGCTGATCAACATTTACCAAAAATATTCACATGGCTAAAAAGAAAAACAATCATATGCCTTAGTGCAATCCAAATAATTACAGAATTTTCTTCTTCTATCTCAAAAATAGAAATGGTTCTGGAGAGACTTTGTTCTCTGTGAGTCCATGTTTCTCTTTGTGATAACTATTCAAGAGATTTCAGACCACCTATTTCATAAACTTTCAAATAATTTGTCCAGGAATTAACCAATCCAAAACTCGTAGACAATTTTGTTCCTTAACATAAATGTTTCAGTAAAATACCACACACTCTTTTGAGTTTTTAGGTTTTGTGTTTTTCTTTTTTTTTTTTTTTAGAGTGAGAGTGTGTACACAAGAGCAAGGTGGGCAGAAGGAGAGAGAGAATCTTAAGCAGGTTCCAGGCCCAATGCAGAGCCCAATGTGAGGGAGGGGCTCGATCTCATGACCCTAAGATTACAACCTGAGCCTAAGCTAAGAGCTGGACACTAAACTGACTACACCACCCAGGTGCTCCATTCTATTTTTTTTAAATTTTTTATTTATTTACGATAGTCATACAGAGAGAGAGAGAATGGCAGAGACACAGGCAGAGGGAGAAGCAGGCTCCATGCACCGGGAGCCTGACGTGGGATTCGATCCCGGGTCTCCAGGATCGCGCCCTGGGCCAAAGGCAGGTGCCAAACCGCTGCGCCACCCAGGGAATCCCCTGCTCCATTCTATTTTTAATACCTTTTGAATTATATTTGTTTTGGGGGTTTGTTTTGCTAATTTTTATTTTGGAACAAATCTAGTCTTTTTTTTTTTTTTTTTGGTCTTTTGGTGGTCACCTTTATAATTAAGTGTATTTAAATCTTAATATCTTGGGGCGCCTGCTTGGCTCAGTCAGTTAAGCATCCAACTCTTGGTTTTGACTCAGGTCATGATCTGTAGGTGGGGAGACAGGGCCCTACTTGGGTCTCCCCACTCAGCAGGGAATCGGCTTTCTCTCTGCTTCTCTCCCTGCTCACCTACTTTCTTTCTAAAATAAATAATCTTAAAAAAAAAAAACCTTTAACATCTTCATATTAACTAAACAGATGAAGAAATTTATATATTCCCTTCCTTTCACCTCATTTTCTGTTCTCACCTCCCTATTATTTTTTAGTATTATCAATCCATGTGCTATTTTTTAGTATCAATTCAAATATATTTTCTGTCCTTGCAAATGAAAAACTATGCATCTTGATAGATTATAGCAAAATAATACATGAACAGTTTTACTATCTGTTTTCTGTTTTCTATACATAAACAGAACACTATTTGCCCTAAGTAGGCTTATCCCTTTCTTGTTTTTCATGTTCCCAAAATAATTTTAAAGACCCTTTTGGTGATTTTAGAATATTTCAGAAGCCTGGACTTAATTTGACTTTCTTAAGTATCCTCACAGTACTGTCCCTATGAGTGATATGCCCCCCCCCTTTTAAATATTTTATTTCTTTATTTGAGACAGAGAGAGAGTGCATGCTCATGCTTGGACACACAAGTGGGGTGGTGTCAAAGAGAGAGGGAGAAGCAGGCTCCCTGCTCAGTGACACAGGGCTTGATCCCAGGACCCGAAGAAAATGAACTAAGCCAAAGGCAGATACTTAACTGACTGAGCCACCCAGGCACCCCTGATATACCTCTTTTAGTATTTCCTTTATGAGGTCTACCTTACATGTCCTTTAAACGCTGGGCTCATAGAACTATTTCTGGTTTTATAACTCTCTACAGATGTCATCCTTTTCTTCCACATTTTGATCATTAAAATTTTCTCTAAACTTTCTACTATCTCATTTTTAAAGTAGTAGATATAAGATCCACTATATCCAACATATTGCAATATGGCCATCATTGAATCTAAAATATGATCTTTTTTTTCAAGGCTTATAACCAACCTTTCAGTCGTTTCTCCTTATTTATAATTATGTGATTCAAAGTAAAAGCTCCCTATGCTAAGGTAGAAAGCTATCTACCTTCAATATAATTATTGTTCATTGCAGATACTACTTTTAACTGAATGAAGACCATTATAGATGTTTAGATGATTAAAAATCACTATTATAACTATTTTCTGCACCATTTTTAAATCTCAGTCAGAAATATAGCAACTATTTATTGTATCCAATGGGGACAATTTTTAGTTAATATCCAAAATATCACTTTTCTGGGACGCCTGGGTGGCTCAGCAGTTAGGCGTCTGCCTTCAGCTCAGGGCATGATCCTGGAGTCCTGGGATCGAGTCCCACGTTGGGCTCCCTGCATGGAGTCTGCTTCTCTCTGCCTATGGCTCTGCCTCTCTCTGTGTCTCTCATGAATAAATAAATAAAATCTTTTAAAAAACAAAACAAAATATCACTTTTCTCTTTTTTTCACTCACCTAAATTTATCCTGTGCTTCAATAAATTTATGGATTTATATACTTATATGTTGATACGTACATCCAGAACTATATATACCTAATCTCTTCTCAAGATTTGTTTCCTTAGAACAAGTTTATGTGCCTCTATTTTCAAGTTCTTTTTTCTTTTTTTCTAATAAAGATCTTATTTTTTTATTCATTCATGAGAGAAACAGAGAGAGAGAGAGAGAGAGAGGCAGAGAAACAGGCAGAAGGAGAAGCAGGTTCCATGCAGGGAGCCTGACATGGGACTCAATCCCAGATCTCCAGGATCACACCCTGGGCTGAAGGCGGCACTAAACCGCTGAGCCATCTGGGCTGCCCTATTTTCAAGTTCTGATTGCATACTATGAAGAGTATGCAACTTGAGTCATATTTATAACAGTTATATACATATTTTTTTGCATCTTATTAGTATATGTCACCACCTTTAATGTTTTAAGTTTCCTACTTCCTATTCCCTGTGCCCTTTTTAATTGCTCTTTCCTCCTCTACTATTCATCTCCCAATGATGTAATATCTGAAGCATATAACATCTGAGATACATCCAAGATCATTTTATAATTTTAATCAAGTATTGTTCTCTTTTCTGCCATTCGTAATATTAAAGAATTATTGACCAAATTAACCTCAGTAATCAACCTTTGAGATTTCTCACTACAAGCCCATAATTCAAATATCTTAAACCAAATATAGCTCATGGTTGGCAAAACAAACAAACAAACAAACAAACATGTATGCTGCCCTAGCTGCATGCCCACAGCAGATAGCTTTTGTGCAATGCCCAGACACAGTTCCTCATTTCAGCCCTCTAAATAGCTATTATCAGTTAATGATTACAGTTGAGGGCAGCCTGGGTGGCTCAGCGGTTTAGCGCCGCCTTCAGCCCAGGGTGCGATCCTGCAGACCGAGGATCGAGTCCCATGTCGGGCTCTGTGCATGGAGCCTGCTTCTCCCTAGGCCTGTGTCTATGCCTCTCTCTCTCTCTCTCTCTCTGTGTGTGTCTCTCATGAATAAATAAATAAAATCTTTAAAAAAATGATTACAGTTGACACCAGATATAAAAATCTGTTGGCCATCTTTTGTTCATACCATTAAGTTCTGCTTTATGATTCCAACTACATACAGGCTATCTTTTCTTTTGAAAGCCCTCAACTTTGCCTTAATAATAAATGAAAATTTTACAAATCCTTCAGTCAGCTATTTGAGATATAGTGCCTATGTCAGCAGCTCATATTGTTTTTTTTTTTTTTTACTCCATTATATCTGAAGAGTTTTACACAATCAGTGATAGAGGCTGAAAATTACAAGGATATTCACATGAAATCAGAAGAGTATGGGGAATGAAGGGAGAGAATGAAGGTCCATCTTTCTAAGCTCACCAACCCAATTTAAGAAAAGGAGAATTTGAAAAGTCACTGATATAGATGCTTTCCACATTTCTCAGTTTCACTAGTTCTTACAGGAACTACAAAATTGGTAGATTTAATAAGTATTAGCAAGTTTTCTCTTCTAACATGGCTATATAATTCAAGATAGCACACTTCTTTATTAACCACGTCAAGTCCACATGCTTATTTTTTTATTTTTTAAGATTTTATTTATTTATTCATGAGAGATAGAGAGAGAGAGGCAAAGACATAGGCAGAGGGAGAAGCAGGCTCCCTGCACAGAGCCTGATGCAGGACTCAAGCCCGGACCCTGGGATCACGCCGAGTCAAAGGCAGACGCTCAACCACTGAGGCACCCAGGCATTCCTGCTTATTTTTTTTAAATCTTTTTAAAAAAGATTTTATTTATTTATTAAAGAGAGCACGAGCAGGCTCCCTGCTCAGCAGGGCTCTCTACAGGGTTCGATCCCAGGACCCTGAGATCATGACCTGAGCAGATGCTTAACAGACTAAGCCACTCAGGTGCCCAGACATGCTTATTTTAAAACAAAAGAGCTATTTTATACTTCAGGAATCAAAAAAATCTCATTTCTATCAACAGTTAAACTGACTCCAGAATCTCAAAATGAAAGTTAACAGGGATTTATCTTTCAAAAAGACACTCAGAATTAAAAGTCTACAAATCCAACTTGTCAATTGAAAGCATTACCTCCAGGTCTGTTTGCTTTTGTAGTTCTTGTATGATGGTCATAGTCTTATTGACAGTAGCACAAATGCGGTTCTTAGTTTCTTTCTGCTCTGCAGCTATTGGTTTAAAGCGGGCATGCAAAGTTTGATATCGAGACTTTATTGCTGACAATTCCTTTAAGAGTGTAACTGGATTTTTCTACATCAGGAAAAAAGTAATATATATATTAAATCATGAAAAGGAAAAATTAAGCTTCTTTTAAGGATTAAAATATATATAACACCATCCATTTAATTCTACCATCCATTTAATTGAACAGTATATAATTAATTATGTAACTATGTAACAAAGGATGGGAGGAGGGGGAAAAAAAAGCATTAAGACCTAGATCCTATTCTCAAGGAAATTAAAGCTTAGGTACAGAAATAACCCACACATGCACACAAAATAGGAATATTAAAATAAGCAAATAAGTGACATTAGAAAAAAACTCCCATAAGATATATAACATTTAATACGTATTTCACAATAATTACATGGTATTTTAACAATACAATAATAAATACTATTCAGAAGGTGACTAAAGGAACTATTTTGATTTGTTCTTAAACAATAAGAGAATTTAAAAATAAAACCACTTATAAAATTCTTAAACATCTATCATGGGGTTAAAGTATGTATTAAGTAACAACTGACCTCACCATACAAAATCATGCCAACTCAAGCAATTATATTTATTGGTTACATTGGTTTTTCAAATTCATTTTAGAATGTAAACACTATTCCATAAAAGACCTTTGTAAAAGGTCCTTTCCACCACTTGGTAATTTTCATTCCCTGATGGTTCCTTAGCAAGCCCTATAATATTCACTATTCCAAACTTTCTCCACTTCCTCAAATTCCCATGCACTCCCTTCTTGGCACATGACCTCACCAACTACTACACCAAGAAAACAGAAAACATTAGAAGTTCCATCTTCCTGCCTTTTCATCCAAAAAGGAAAACATAAGGGGAATCCCTGGGTGGCTCAGTGGTTTAGCGCCTGCCTTCGGCCCAGGGCATGATCCTGGCGTCCCGGGATCGAGTCCCATATCAGGCTCCTGCATAGAGCTGGCTTCTCCCTCTGCCTGTGTCTCTGCCTCTCTCTCTGTGTGTGTCTCTCATGAATAAATAAATGAAATCTTTAAAAAAAAAAAAGGAAAACATCTATGGACATTCTCATCCCTGCTCAGCCTGTCACACTGCCAGTATTACTGTTGTTTGCTACCCAAATCCTCCAGAGCCTTTAATTTCCTATATTTCTATGACTTTTCAATATCTCTCTACTTTTTGTTTTGTTTTGAAGTTTTTGTTTATTTATTTATTTATTTTTTAGTAACCCCTACATCTGGGATGTCTGAGTGGCTCAGCAGTTGAGCATCTGCCTTTGGCTCAGGGTATGATCCCAGTCCCAGGATCGAGTCTCACATCGGGCTTCCTGCAAGGAGCCTGCTTCTCCCTCTGTCTATGTCTCTGCCTCTCTCTGTGTCTCTCATGAATAAATAAATAAAATCTTTGAAAGAAAAAAAAATCCCTACATTCAATGTGGGGCTCAAACTCACAACTGACTCATGTGCTCCTCTGACTGAGCCAGCCAGGTGCCCCGTATTATCTCCCTTTGTACAGACTCCAAGTATATATAGATCTTCCCTATTCTAAAACGAAATTCAGGGCAGCCCCGGTGGTGCGGTGGTTTAGTGCCGCCTGCAGCCTGGGGTGTGATCCTGGAGACCCGGGATCGAGTCCCACATCAGGTTTCCTGTAGGGGACCTGCTTCTCCCTCTGCGTGTGTCTCTGCCTCTCTCTCTCTGTGTCTCTTATGAATAAATAAACAAAATTAAAAAATAAATAAATAAAACGAAATTCACTCCTTCTCTTGACTCTACTGTTGCTTCAAAACCAGTTTCAGAGACGCCTGGGTGGTTCAGCAGTTGAGTGTCTGCCTTAGGCTCAAGGCATTATCTTGGGGTCCCAGGATCAAGTCCCACATTGGGCTACTTGCATGGAGCTGGCTTCTCTCTCTGCCTCTCTCTGTCTCTGTGTCTCTCATGAATAAATAAATATAATATTTAAAAAAAAACAATCTGATTCTTCTCATTCCATTTCCACCAACCTTGTAGGTCCTATAATAATACATTCCCCAATTTAACATCCCATAGACTAGTATCCTTGCCAAATTATTGTAAACAATCAAAAGTTAGGTTTGCCCAATATCATATAATTTTGATACCCTTTCTTAGGCCTTATTTCCTTCTTGTTCCTACCTTAAAATGAAGTCTTGATTTTTATAAAACTATACTACCTTTGTTAGTTTCCTACTCTACAGATATTTCCTTCAGGGACCCTATCTCATGGCTATGGCAGAGACTCAGTTTATGGCCCTCTATTCCCTATTTCCTTAGAGATGTTTCTGTTTTTAATGATGGAAATAGTAAATAAAGATGATTCTCATAGGAAGAGAAAAGAGAAAATCTAACTTAAAGACTATTAAAATATTTCTGCAAGGATGTCTGGTGGCTCAGTGGTTGAGTGTCTGCCTTCTGCTCAGGGTGTGATCCCGGGATCCGGGATCGAGTCCCACATGGGGCTCTTTGAGGAGAGCCTGCTTCTCCCTCTGCCTATGTCTCTGCCTCTCTCTATGTGTCTCTCATAAATAAATAAATAAAATCTTTTTAAAAGATTTTAAGATAAAATATTTCTGCAAGGAGTGATCAAGACCTATGGTATAAGAAATAGAAATAGGAAATGGACAACATAGAGACCTCATGAAAACATTTAAGAGATCTTAGTGGTATGTTTGTTAGGAACAAAGGAATAATAGATGACATCAAATGCATCATCTGGTATATAAAGGAATGTGTATATTAAGATGCCTTTTTGGGTATCTACTCAGTGTATACCCCAATAATATTGAGATCTGTCCTCTGACCTTCAGAGGTATTATTTCCCATCATGTTTCTAGATGGTAGAGACTGCAGTGGATCAAAGAAATACAGTAGAAAAACTGGAAAATACAGTTCAAAAAACTACTAAAAGATAGGAAATAAACGATAAGAAAAATGGAGAATAGATCCAGGATGTTCAGTATCTCACTGATGGGACAAAGCATAAAAGAGGTTTTCCTCTGAAGTCTTTTCTGATGAATACAATAGCTAAGTAAAGTTATGAGATTTCAAATGCATGTGTTTTTACATTTAAAGGGCCCCACCAAATGACAGCACAATTAATGAGAAAGCCTATCCATAACCATAAAATGACCAAAAAAAATTTTAGAGTATGGAGAAAATATTCTGAAAGTTCCAAGAGAAATGGGTTAAGGAAGGGGGAGGGTAAAAAAAGGAGGAAGACACAATTAGTATGGCATGAGTTTCTCAGCAAGAACACTGGAAGCTAAAATAACACAATTATGTTAAAAAAAAGAGAAAATAATCTCCAGTCTAGTATTTCATATTCAACCAACTATCCATCATCTAAAGGATTAAATAAAGATTAAATAAAGACATTTCCAAACAGTCAACTTCTCAGAAAGTTGGCCTTTTATGTACTCTTCCTCAGGAAACTTCTAAAGGATATGCTTCACCTGATCAAGGAAATGAACCAAGAAAGAATGAGATGTATAATTCAAACCAGAAATAAAGCAAAAAGAATTACTGAAATGATGGTAAAGAAATCCCAGAAACAGGGATGCCTGGGTGGCTCAGTGGTTGGGCGCCTGCCTTTGGCTAGGGGCATGATCCTGGAGCCCTGGGATCGAGTCCCACATTGGGCTCCCTGCATGGAGCCTGCTTCTCCCTCTGCCTGTGTCTCTGCCTCTCTCTTTGTGTCTCTCATGAATAAATAAATAGAAATAAAATCTTTTTTAAAAATTTAAAAAAAAATAAAAGAAGTCCCAGAAACAGGTACACAGGAGGTCTATACAGCAGGAGGATAGATAGCACTGGGAGGGATGTGGAAAAAAATGAAACTTAAGAATCATGTGATGTGTCTGACAATGTCAACAAGAGTTTTACCATTCTGATAGAACCATCTGAGGCTAGGGTGCCTGGATGGCTCAGTCAGTTGAGTGTCCAACTCTTTTGACTTTGGCTCAGGTAACGATCTCAAGGTCATGAGATTAAGCCCCGAGGCAGGCTCACAGAGCCTGCTTGAGATTCTCCCTTTCTCCTTCTGCCCCACCCCTGGCTAGCTCGCTCTTTCTTCAATAAATAAATCTGGGATGACTGAGTGGCTCAGCTCAGGGCATGATCCTGGGTCCAGGGATCAAGCACTGCATCAGGCTCCCTATGCCTGCCTGCTTCTCCCTCTGTCTATGTCTCTACCTCTCTCTGTGTGCCTCATGAATAAATAAAATCTTTTAAATAAATAAATAAATAAATCTTTAAAAAGTCTGACTGAAATAATGATACATGTATAGAAAAATTAGGCAAATTGAAGGGAAAAAAGAAAATTATTAGCTCCAGAAAAAAAAAAAAAAAAAACTAAAAAAAAGCTCCAGGAAAAGCAGACATAGTATATTACATGACTGATAAAAGCAGTATTTGCAGAGCCTAATGGCTATGGTCTGAATGTCTCTCCAAAATTCACTTGTTTATTTCTTTTGTTTTTGGGGGTTGTTTTGTGGTTGTTTGTTTTTTAGTAATCTCTATACCCAACATGGGGCTTAAATTCAAGACACTGAGATCAAGAGTCATATGCTCTTCTGACTGAGCCAACCAAGTACCCCTCAAAATTCATTCAAGTACCTAACCCCCAAGGTGATGTAATTAGGAGGTGAGTTATTTGGGAGGTGATAACTTCATGAGAGGAGAGCCACCATAAATGAGATTAGTACTCTGATGGAAGAGGCCCCAAGAGATCATCCCCATCTGCTCTGAGCATACAACCAAAAGTCTGTGACCCAAAAGAGGGCCCTAACTTATCTATGCTGGCACCTTGATCACAGACTTCCAACCTCCAGAACTGTGAAACTGTTGTATATAAGGTCCTAAGTCTGTGGTATTTTGTTGCAGCAGCCCAAGTGGAAGTGAATATGGATAGAGCAAGAAATTATAAAGTATTTAATCTTTATCTTCCATAACAAGTTATTATTAATAACAGCAGTAAGATATAGTGCATACTCTGGACTAAACTGTTTTAAATACATTATATATATTACTTA